TATATCTTTTGATAGCCGGGCACCATCAGCTTTCTTCACCACATTTGCTTATGCACCTGCTTTGTCTTCAGCGATTGTGTCGGGAAGGTGAGCATCATGAAATGCAAGTTTAATATAACAGAGTATTCTGCGTGGAGGCCCAATGCCCATCTCCTGCTTTCCCCTTTTATCACACGTGTTAGTTGACTATTCATAGTGTGTGTGTGTGTGTGTGTGTGTGTGTGTGTGTGCGTCTTATGGAAGGAGCCCTGGTGGCGCTGTCAGGTAAGTATAAGACTGCTAACTGCAAGGTGGCTGGTTCAAACCCATCAGCTGCTCCACAGGAGAAAAAAGGAGACCCTGTGGCCCCATAGTGACTTCCAGCCTTGGACACCCTGCATAGGGTAGCTGTTGGAACCGGCTTGATAGCAGTGGCTTTGGCTCTGAGTTCATGTCCTATGAAAAACTAGCAGGTGGAATTAGCTGGCTGTGGGAGCCTGGGCAGGGCAGACAGCCAGAGGTACACATATTTTTCTTGTTTAAAAATAAAAGGAAACCATGTGCCAGGCTCTTATACACCTTGTGACGTCCTGTCCAGTGGGACAGTAGCATAGGTACCCATTTAGCAGATAAGAAGACCGGCTCCGAGAGGAGCGGCTGTTCCCCCGGCGGGGAGGGCACTCTCTCAGACTGCTTCTTCTGTGGCCTCTTGGCCTGGCTCTGCTCCCTGCTCCTGGTTCCAGGGTTTTTTCTCTAACATGGGGTAGTAACTGCCTGGCATTGGCGTGGCTCTCCAGCCTCCCTCCCCTCCCCGGGCCCTGTAGGAACAAGCCTGGGTGGTCGGCCTGATGGTGTGAGTGTGGTCTGGTCTGAATGGGGGAGGGGCAGCCACCTGGGCCTAAATCTTTCTAGGCCTCTGAGAGCTCAGTCAACAGCACGAATCAGACCTGGGGCCAGCGCCCGGGGCTGGCACAAGGGAAGGCTCCACTCTCCCATGGGGACAAGGACGGGAGGGCTGGACTCTCCCATGGGTTGGGGTCGGGGATGACCAGGTGAGGTGGACCAGACATGCCAGGTGAGCAGCAGGAGTGCCTGAACTGAGAGATCTGGGGAGACAGCCCCCCAAAATTAAAGGTGGAGGCAGGCGGTACACACTGCAACAGTGACACCTTTAGAGCCCTGTAGGATGGGTGTTGGGACTTGGAGAAAGGGGGTGTCCGCCCTAAGCTGGGCTCCAGCAGGTCTGTCTTTCCGCGCCCTGCCAGCCTCTGGCCACTTGTCCATCCTGCTCCTTTCGGAGTATCTGGTGTGGCAACTGTTATTGGGATGTGCATCTGAGGAGGCAGGTGGTGGCGGCTTTGTGTTCAGAGAGGGGAATCCCAGGAAAGCCATTTCCTGGTAGACACCTGGGCCAGCTGCCTCCAAATCCGTCCCCTCCAGCAGGTCTCCCCGAAAGGCGGCGCGAAGCTTCCTCTGAGCTTCCCCAGGCTGGTTCCTCAGCCCCAGCCCTGCTGGCAACCAGGGTAATTGTCAGTGTGGGAACTGGATAGCCAGGACCCCACCCCTCATGACAACCCAAGCTGCCTCCTAGGAGGTCAGAGGTGCAGGGGCTCATTTTACAGTGGTCCTGAGCGGCTTTGGGTGGTCCTCAAGCCCTGTCCCACATTTTCAGGGTTAATTTCATGCAGCCTCCCCAGAGGCATAAGCCTCGGGAACTTGGGGCGGCTTGGTAACCATGGGGAGCCATGCCTCCCCTCTTCCCAGTCTCTGCTCCTGGGGCATGCTGAACAGCACAGCTAGGTGGCAGTCATGCTCCCCAACCCTGGTCCAGCCTTCCTAGTGGCTCCCCAAGATCAAAGAGGCCTAGAGCCCTTCTGCTCAGAGCCACAGAATGCAGGGCTCCCACATCAGAAAATCCAGGGACTTGCATAAAGATGCAGCCTCTGTGCCCAGTTGAAAAATGCCCCACTATGGGGGTGGGGGGAAGTGGATGAGGGGCTGGGTTGGCTGAACACATGGAAAGGGGCCCATTTACATCTCAATGGGCCCTCCAGGAATGGATTAGTCTGCAAAGCAGTCTGGGAGGCTTTCTGGGCTCCCTCCCTGCAGAGCCTGAGCCTGCACCAGAGTCAGACACAAGCAGACAGGTAGAGCAGCAGGTGCTCTGGTGGCAGGGGAGCCATCCATGTGTGACTCCGGACAAGGCCAGGGATGGAGTGAGGTGGAGCAGGGAGTGTGAAGACACTGGAAAGACTGGAGCCAAATCTGGTGAAAGTCTGAGGTCCCATCTTAAGTCTCTGAGCAAGCAGCCTAGCTAAGGGCATGAGATGTTCCAGGAGTTGATTCAGTTTTGGGGTCCAGGGCCCACTGTGGCTGGTTCTGGAGCTCTGAGACGGCCTCTCTGTGGCCCCTGAAGCCCACCCTTCCAGTGGGTTATGCAGAGCCTCTCCAAGTACCCTTTAAAAGCACGCAGGCCCCAGTGGTGCTTTACATCACTGCCTTGGAGAGAGCCAACCGATGTGGCCCTTTCCTTCCAGGGTAGCAGGAGGGCAGGCCCAGAAAGGCTAGGAGCCTCAATGTAGTATTAAATTAAATGTTGGAAGGGAGGTGGGGGACCAGCCCCACCCGCTGCTGCTACTACTACCCACGGGTTCAGTAAAGCACAATTGTACGGTTGAGATATGTAAATATTATATTAAAGTCATCGAGAGCATGAGAGATACAATAATGCAGTTAGACACATTACATGGTAGCATTGCTTACCTCAGCCCAGCTTCGTGGTCCACATGGAGAGAGGGGGAAGGGAAGGAAGGCAAGGGAACAAGGAAGAGAGGACTAGAGAGGAGAGGGGGAAGAGAGGGGAGTGACCAGGGAGTGAGCAGCAAGGAGAGATCAGTCAGAGGGCTCTATATTGCTGACCCATGCCTATATACCTTTTGGGGGCATACCAGCCTACTAATTACAGGTAGAGACATACGTCACAGGGAGGGGCTGCACTATAGGTTACACAGCAATGAGAGGATGGTCTAGGGGGTGGTCTCTGGGTCTCCATAGGAACCATTATCAGTAGGGTGAAAACTCCGCCTACAGGAGCCTGTCCATTGTCCCCAGAGGCAGGGAGCAGGCCCACCCCTGTGGAGGGATGAGACAGCACTCTGGCAACTGATTGCCCTCAGGGGTGGGTGGGGAATGCCTGCGCATCTGACCTCCCCCTCAAGGTTTCCAGGGTGGGCTTGAGCAGGCTCACCGGGCGCCTCCTGCCTGCCGTCCTGTTCCACCGCTTCCTTCCCCATCAGAGGCCTTAAGGACAGCCCACTGCCTTCGCTTTCTTTGAGCCTTGGTGGCACTGTCTGATAGGCACTGGACTGCTAATTGCAAGGCCAGCAGTTCAAATCTACCAGCTGCTCCTCAGGAGGACGATAAAGCTACCTGCTTCCATAAAGAGTTCATCCTCGGGGACAGCTCTACTCTGTCCTGCAAGGTCACTATGAGTCATGAGTGGGGATGAACTGCATGACAGGGGGTTTGGTTTGTTTGTTTGTTTTCCTCCCTTGCTGGGGTGGGGCGTGGGGTGCAGGATCATTACCCAGGCCAGCAGCTCCTGCCTTGGAGGGAGAGGGGGCAGGTTGACAAGGCCTTAGGCTCTGATGTATACTGGGTCCTTCCTCCCTGCCCTCCTGACTCCAGGTCCCCAGCCCAGAGGTGAGACTAGAGAACCCCCCCAGCTGGTGACGGGGCCCAGCAGTCCTCTGTGGGGGGGGGGATAACCACACAACAGTAGGTAGAATGAGCTCCCTGCTGTCAGGAGCAGATAGGGCTATCAGACCCCAGTCATGGCTTCCATGCCCATGGCCAGCTGCGGGGCGCTGTGAGATCCTACAGGACCTTGGCTGGCTGAGCCTGAGGAACAGGAAGAAAGCCAGCCAGGGGGGACAACTCAGAGGAAGACTCTGCCCCCCAGTGGCCTCCTGGGGGAGGACAGGGCTGGCATGGGACAGCCCAGGACGGGGCTTGCTGTGTCCTCTCAGGAGCAGAAGAGCTGGTGGAAAGGGCTGTTGTTAGCCTGCTCGCCAGAAGCATGGGAGGCTGGCTTTCTGAGCGCTGTGGTTTGGGGTCAGCTATTTGAAAATCTTGGCTCACAGCAGCACCCCAGTTTGGTCCGAGGTGCTGCCTGACCCTGCCAGTGTCCAGCGGTCACCCCCAGGCAGGTGGCTCCCAACTTGCCCACAGTCTAACCCCCCACCCCACTTCCTGCTTCTTCCTTTCTCCCTGCAGCCCAATGTCTCTTTCCAGCCGCCACAGAAAGACTCACCCGCGGGCCAGGTGGCCAAGGCCCAGTCTCTGCCCTCAGAGCAGCCTGTGGGGAACGTTAGCCCCCTGCCGACCTCAGACACCAGCAGCCCCCACATATCCCTCCACACGGCCCCTGCCGCTGGCCCGCCTCCAGGCCGGTCCTCCCCTGCGGGCTCTCCCCGCACCCGGCACGCCCAGATCAGCACCAGCAACCTGTACCTGCCCCAGGACGCCTCGGGCGCCCAGGGTGCACTGGCCAGCGAGGACACCGGCGTGGTGACCCATGAGCAGTTCAAGGCTGCGCTCAGGATGGTGGTGGACCAGGGGGACCCTCGGCGCCTGCTGGACAGCTACGTGAAGATCGGCGAGGGCTCCACGGGCATTGTCTGCCTGGCGCGGGAGAGGCACTCAGGCCGCCAGGTGGCGGTCAAGATGATGGACCTCAGGAAGCAGCAGCGCCGGGAGCTGCTCTTCAACGAGGTGGGGGAGGGGGGGGTTCTGGGGGGCACGGGGGCAGGCCAGCCGCACGAAGGGCCATGGGCAGCCAGGCCTCTTGGGCACTGTGCCCAGCACTCAGAGCCTCGGATCCGTCCCCCAACCCGCAGGTGGTGATCATGCGGGACTACCAACACGTCAACGTGGTGGAGATGTACAAGAGTTATCTGGTGGGCGAGGAGCTATGGGTGCTCATGGAGTTCCTGCAAGGCGGGGCCCTCACGGACATCGTCTCCCAAGTCAGGTGGGCAGCTGGGCCCCTGAGCGGACACCCCCACTGGTTGGCCTGCAGGAGTATGGGGAACCCTCTGGCTCAGGAGATCTGGGGTCCCTGCCAGATCATCTCCAGACCCCTAGTGCCTGTTTGAGGTCCCAAGGGGTCTCCAGCCCTGGTCTCAGTTCCCACAGAAGCTGTGACCTGACTGGACTGCTGAGCCCATCCCGAGGCTGTTGGCTCACGACACATAGGGCCTCCTCCCCTGTCCTGCCCAGCCCTGTGGCCCTGGCACCCAGGGCCCCTCTCACTGACTGGCGAAGGCCCCGCCTTCCCCGTGCAGGCTGAACGAGGAGCAGATTGCCACTGTGTGTGAGGCTGTGCTGCAGGCCCTGGCCTACCTGCACGCCCAGGGCGTTATCCACCGAGACATCAAGAGCGACTCCATCCTGCTCACCCTCGATGGCAGGGTAGGCACCCCCTTTGCCCCCCACCCCCAGCACCATTCTTCCCACTTCACCTCTCACCCCTTTTCCTACCTCTTGCTCCACACCTCAGGTGAAGCTCTCAGACTTCGGGTTCTGTGCCCAGATCAGCAAAGACATCCCCAAGAGGAAGTCCCTGGTGGGCACCCCCTACTGGATGGCTCCTGAAGTGATCTCCAGGTCTCTGTATGCTACTGAGGTAACCGTTCCACCTTCCCACCAGCCCCTCCTCCCAAAGGAGGCGCCCCCCCACCACCCAAAACAAGCCTGCTTCTCAGATGTCCCCCAAGTCAGTCTACTCTCCTGCTGCCCCCTACTCTCTTGTGGGTGGGGATACTCTCACCTGTGACTTTGCTCCCAGGAACAGGCCCCCTAAATGCTCTCCCCCAGCTCCAGGGCAGGGGGTGTGTGTCCAGACTTCCCCAGATGGTAGTTGGGTCCCTCCAGTTAATGGTCGTGAAGGCAAGGCGGCCAGGGAAGCTGGGACGCCCGCCGGGCAGAGGGCTCAGGGCTACTTCTCCTGCAGGTGGACATCTGGTCCCTGGGCATCATGGTGATTGAGATGGTGGACGGAGAGCCTCCCTACTTCAGCGACTCCCCAGTGCAGGCCATGAAGAGGCTCCGGGACAGCCCCCCACCCAGGCTGAAAAACTCTCACAAGGTCAGTTGATCCCGCTCTTCCCGAGCTCCGGGGCCCTCTTCCTCCCACAGGCTGCCCCCACATCAAACCCACCCCCCCTCCTGTCCACATTCGCAGCCGCAGTGGAGTCACTCCTCAGCAGGCAGCTGGGAAGAGCCCAGAGCTACTGATGGGGAAAGGGGAGAGAGGGCACAAGGCAGCCTCCATGTCCCACAGAGGATTCTAGGGGAGCCAGACTGAGCACATCCCCCTCCCCCAATTTGCCAGAGGCCAACCTGGCTGGTCCTCCATCATTGCACTGCCTGACCACATCTTCAAACACGTGTGTGTGTGTGTGTGTGTGTGTAATCCTTTCTTTTCCACCAAATCCACCCCAAACCTGCTGACCTTACACTGGGGGGGAGGGAGGGTGGAGACAGCTAGCTCAACTCAGGGCTGCAAACAGCACTGCCATCTGGTGGCCAGAGTAAGAAATTCTCCAAGGACTGGGGCCCAGTCCCCAAGTGGCTAATCAGTCCCATTGGGCCCCAGGGTGCCTAATGGCCCCAAACACACTTGGGTGTGAGGCCTGATGGGAAATACCTCCCAAGAGGAATGAGCACCGACAGCTCCGGAGCCCACCCTGCTGACCCCAGGATGGGCAATCCCCATGGGCGAATTCCCCAAACCCAGAGGAAGAAGTCTTGTATCAGGAGGAAGACTAAATCTATATCCCAAGATAGTGCTGCAAAATGAGTTCAGATAAGTCTTTGTTTAGGAGCTGGGGTTAGAGCCCAAAAGATGAGGCTTCCTCTCCATGGTCCCCTGCTTCTCGTCTCATCTTCGAAGGGCGTCCTCATTCCTGACCACTTTGTGTTCTTTCTTCACTTAAAGCCCTAGCGGGCAGACAGAGAAACACTACCTTAGTATTAGCCCGTTTTGCAGATGTGAAAACTGAGACCTAGAGGAAAGTGGCGATTCGCCTGAGATCAAGAGACAGACCCCGGACTGGGTCACTCGATGCCCTTTCCACAGAGCCTGCGCACTGAGCACAGTAGGCAGAAGCAGGGACAGGGAGCAGGTTGCTTAGGGAAGCCAGGCTCCCAGAGAGTTTCCGCAGGCTAACGTCACTGCTCAGCAGCAACTCCTAGAACAGAGATTCTCCACCTTCCTAGTGCCCGTTCATACAGTTCATGTGTGGTGACCCCCCCCCAACCATAACATTATTTTCATTGCCACTTCATAATTGTCATTTTGCGACTGTTATGAATCAGGCGACCCTGTGAAAGGGTCATTCAACCCCCAAAGGGGTCACGACCCACAGGTTGAGAATCGCTGCCTTAGAGGCAAACTAGCCACACTTCTTGGACTGACCCTTAACCTAACCTGATAACCCCCCAAACCACCAAGCCTGTGAGGAGCCAGAAAATAGGAAAGTAGAGAATGAGAGATGGTCACGTGGTGGCCGGGCCAGCCCGACAGGTCTTTCAAAAGTGACTGCAATCCCTGCTGTCTCCACAGGTCTCCCCAGTGCTGCGAGACTTCCTGGAGCGGATGCTGGTGCGGGACCCCCAGGAGAGAGCCATGGCCCAGGAGCTCCTGGACCATCCCTTCCTGCTGCAGACTGGGCTGCCGGAGTGTCTGGTGCCCCTGATCCACCTGTACCGCAAGCAGACCGCCACCTGCTGAGCCCACCTCAGAGTGCCCCAGACCCTGGGTGGCCAACCAGCCCGCAAGGCCCACCTCCCTTGTCTTCTCAGTATTCTCTCCAAAGATTGAATGTGAACCCCCAGCCCCATCCTCCTGCCCCTCAGCCCACCGGGCCAGGCCGGACCTGCCCCCCCCAGAGTCTCTCCCTGTGCGGAGAGGCTCCAGTTGCCTTTGGGGTGACAGCAACCCCCCTGCAGGATGACCCTTGTTATTTGCACAAGGACATTTCTAAGACACACAGACCATTGCTCCCGGCCACTGGAGCCACAGCAGCCCGAAGCGCTGCGGGGCAGTTATACCCTAGCCTCCCAGGCCACCTGGCGGGCAGACTGCCTGCTGTCACACGGACACCTGCTGTTCTCAGCTCCAACTCCAGATCTTAGGGTCTCTGGAGGGCCACAGGGAACATTTGTATTGCCCGAATCCTTCTCCTTCCCTTGCGTGTGACTTCCTGAAGGCGCCGTCCCACTGGAAGCCACTCCCTGTCACTGACATATACTCACCCGGCTCAGGCTGAGAACTGTGAATAGGCCATGGGAGGGAAGGGCGCCTTTTTGGAGTGAAAAAAAGAATGGAGTTGGTGGTAAAGATGGTCTCGTGTGTGTATGTGTGTGTGATGTGTTAGGGGAGAAAGTCCCTTCAGATCACTCACAGCCAGCTCCAGCAAGGCTCTCCCCTCGCCTCTCCCACTCAGGTCTACTCAGAAGGGATCTGCTCCTTGGCCTGGCTGCCCACCACGTAAATCCCCGTGTTTCCGCCTGACCAAGGAGTGAGGCTGGATTGAGTCCAGCCGCGTGGGGTCTTGGGAGGTTTCTGAGTGGCTCCCAGCATTGTCCCCAAGTGGCTCCCACACTGTAGTCTGAGGGAAAGGGAACTCTGTCGTCACAGTGCACCGCACCTCCACAACCGGGTCATCAGGGGCCCATTCTTCCCTTCAGAATCCTGTTCTAGGGAACCACCTTTTCGGGGGATTCCATCATGTCAAGAGGATAAGCACCCCATCTGTCACACCACCCACCCCTAGCTGCCTCCTCAGGCACCTGTCTCCTCACCCCACGCCTTCCCCACTGTCGGTGTAGCTGTGAGACAGGAAATTCCTGGGAAGAACTTCAGGTGTCCTGACCCTATCTAGATACTATTTTTAGATTCCTCTGCTCCCTGGTGGCCTGCTTTGGAGCAAAACGTTGCAAGGACTTTTTTTAGGGGTCAGCATTTTCAAAACAAAAGCATCTTCCCTAGAAACTTTTGTGAATTGTTTGCACTTGTGCCTGTTTTAAATTAAACTGAGTGTTCAAAACCCCAGGGCTTCCTGTCCTCTCTGGAGGGTGGGGCCAAGCTGCCTTCGAGTTGGGTGGTCAGTGGTCCAGCTGGGTGTCTGCTGTGGCTGCCCCTCCTTCCCCATGTGAGCTCCCCAGGGGTCACTCTGGCCTAGAGAAAACCTGGACTCCCTGGTGTATGAGAGGCTGAAATGAAACAGGAAGAGCGAGGCCCCTGGGACCGAAGGCGATGAGAACCAGACTGTATCCCTTCCCTGGGGGAGACAACACAGGCAGCTCTCCTGGCCAGGGGCCCCTGCTTGCCATGCCTCAGGGGCTCTGGGGAGTAGCTGGCAGCTTACCCCTGCCTGCATCAGCATCCCCTGCCCCTGGAAGTCAGAGAGGCCTCTCCTCAAGCCACACAAAGGAAGTGGGTGAAAATGGCCTTCAAACGTGTCGTCTCAGTATGGATACCATGCCCCCCTCCCAAGAGCTCTTCTACCTGCCACCCTGGATTCCCTGATGCAGCTGAGCCAGGAGCAGGGAGCCGGGCCAGCCTGCTCACCACAGCACTCACCCCACAAGGACAGCTCGCCTGCCAGGCCCTCTGCACCACCACCCCCAATCCCACCAACCTAATCAGGTGCGTGTGGCACCTATGACCTCACTTAAGAAGATGGCCACCGTAAGAAGGGTGGAGATGGCCCTGGGCAGCTCTCCATCTCTCCAGAGGTAGCTGGTCCGGACGAAAGACACCATGTCTCTCAACCAAATAATACTGGTTTTATTTGGGGCCATCTGTCCACCTAAGCTCATCCTTCACAGGAAGCTTCAGACAGCATCTAGCCTCACGCAGAGACCCAGTCTGAGCTGGATTGTGGCATGCCAAGCTCCTGGGCCTGGGGGGCTTCAGAGCCATGAGCAGCAGCGGCTGGGACAGAAACCGCTGGCTCAGGAAAGGTCTCTTCCACAAAGTGGGGAGAGCTAGTGAGGACGCCCAGCCTCAACCGCCTTGGGCAGTGCTGAAGCCCACAAGCTGCCCCCACTCCCCAACTAGGCCTGCTGAGAAACCTCGAAGGCAGCTCCCTTCAGCCAGGAAAGATCTGCTGAGGCTTTTTAGAAACCTCACTTTCACCTGCCAGCTTTCAGCAGCTCCGCCCAAGAGAAAGAAGCCCTCAGGGTGGTTTGCCGGAAAAGGGGGCCCAAACCGAAAGCCACCAGAAAGGTGACAACACGTTCAACAGAATGTGCAACCCAGACTTGGAGGTGTTTTTTGTTTTTGTTTTTTAAGAAGGCAAGATATTCATATTCTTACACCATTGAAACACTTGGTGAAAACTTAACACGCTTGGAAAGGGAAGCAGTCAGCAAGCAAAAATCAGAAAGCAGCAAGTTTGTGCTTGGGGTATCCAGTCATCCCGCACCCATCCTAAGCTCTGAACCTCTGGGTGCCTGTTTGCCCACCACTACCACCACCCCACTCCATTATCGGGGCACAGAAGGGTGGAGGAGCGGCGGGCGTCTGGGGAGAAGGATAGGAAGGTGGAACATCTCAGAAACCGAAGCAAATACCATTAGATGGAAGCAGCAAGCTCCACGGGTCTGAAATCACCTGGGAGGGGGTGGTAGCTCCAGTTCGTCGTGCGTTCGTCGTGGGAAGGCCGGAGCTCTTGGGCAGCAGAGCTCTAACTTCAAATTAGATTGTGGGGGTCCGTAGTGTTAAGTGTGGCTCCTGCTATTCCAAATGCAGAATTGGGGTTACTGTCCCCTACTTCACTGCTGTAGGATGATTTCAAGTATCCGGATTTAATATTCTACGAGAGGATGAGGATTCCACGAGTAAATACACACGGAGGGAGAAGTCTACAGCGGTGATCCCACCCCTCTCTCCCCCCAAAAAAGCCCAGAAGTCTGGAACTCCGAGCCAGGGCGTAGCGAGGAGTGGGCAGCGCTGCCACTAGGGGGCACCAGAGGACACGTCCTGTGGGCAGCCTCGCGGGGGACCCTCGCCGACCAAGTGGGAAGGTTGGATAAGTAGGTAGGCATCTGACACCTTGACAAGGTCCCCGCCCCCCTCCCCCAAGCCCAATTTCTCAGCACGGATCATTCTCGCTCTGGCCAGTTCCCTGGGACTTAATGGTGTGAAAGTGAAACCTTTGGTTCTGCAAAAGCAACGTCTTCAAAAGAGATCCCACCGCAGGCAGGTGGGGGACTGCAGCGCTTTACCTAGGCGGTTCACGGAAAGCGCCTCCTCCGAGAATCTTCGCCCCCAGGGTCGGGGCGCAGACACGTGTGCTGGCGCTTCCGCGGGGTCCTAGCGCCGGCGATTCTCTAGCTTCGCCAACCCCCTGGCCAGACCCACACAAAGGGAAGGCGGGCGGAGGCGCGGAGGGAGGGGACGGGAGCCGGGTCCGCAAAAGGGCCTTTAACCACCTCTCCGCTGCAGCCTCTGACTCACTAATCTACCCAGTAATGAAAGCTGGGCTGGGCCTGCGTTCCATGCGGTGGGGCAGAGGCAGGGGGTCCCTGGTCTCGACCTCTGGAATCCATCACCCGCCCTGCCCACCATTAACTGCCCAGCGAGCAACAGGAGCCGTTTAACAGGCTCCTTCCTGCTCTCGCCAGGAGTTTGATGTAATTTAAACTGAGACCTGCGGCTCGTGTGGGCTCCGAATCCGCGCGCCGCTGCCGTTTAACGTGGCAAACACTTCAGTCAATTATCCCCCTTGCAGAGCTTCTATTTAAAGAGACATTGTTAGGTTCTTAAGCCTCGGATGAGACCTGCTGCTTTCTGCTTTATATACAACGACTTCTTTGAGGATTGGGGGGGAAATGCAATTACGCAAAGCCTTCGCAACTGGTCTACCCTGCGGGAGCACCCACGTGCAGGACAGGGGAGCTGGGAGGCGTTGAACGAGGGGGAGTTGCTGAGTCCTGGCCATTTCAGGCCTTTGAGAACGAAGGTCTCACCATGAGAGGCTTGGGCATGTGGATGGTGAGGCCTGGAGGGGCAGAACCTCAAAGATGAAACTCACTTCCAGCCCCCCTGAGTGCAGAGCAGACCAGAGGGGTAGGCTTGGTGTGGAGCAACTGGTTGGCTCCTGGGTGTCCCCAGGAGTAAAAGGGGCAAAGGGAGTTGGAATGATCCAGAAACTGGTTCAAGGAGCAAACTGTGAACAACACCTGGGGCCTGCTCACTCCTCAATTCTTTCATTGTCTTGAGGCAGGAGAGTTTCTACCCCCCAAAACACTTAAGTGCTATTCAGCTTTCCAATCTATAGAGGCACCCCCCACCCCCCAACTCTTATGGAGACTTGGGTAGGTGTTACTGTCAGCAGCACTAAGGCCAGCCTCAGGAGAGGCCCTCATTAGTTGCACAAGGCCAACTCGTCAGCAGCCAGCTTGGGGAAGGGGACCAGGCAGGAGGCCTGAGGAATCTAGCCACACCAAGCCTGGAGGTGCCCCAGGGCTGAGCATTAGGGCTGGGGCCAGGGCTGGAGGAGTCCTGTGTGCCTGCCTGAAAGGCCCTAGCCTTTGGAGCCAGCTTTCCACCAGGCACCTTCCAGGGGGAGGAAAGGCAGGCCACAGGTAAGGTAGGGGAAAGGCAGGGGATACCAAGGAGCAGAAAGAAGAAATGAGAGGGTCTCTCTCGGAGAGAGGACTGGTGAAGGCCTGGCTTTTGCAGCCGGTACAAGTTATAGAAACTGGGCAGCGGGGCAGGGAAGTGAGAGACCTGGAAGCCAGGGGAAATCCAGGTGAAGCAGCGACTTGAGAGGCGCCAGAAAGCAACGCCGTACCTCAGAGCCCTTTACCGCTGGGCCTGCAGCACCACGGCCTCGGTGCTGGCCTGCCAAGCCTGCGGCCCGGGCACGGTGAGCGGCAGAGCGTTGGCTTCTAACTCCGGGCCGCTCTCCGGCCCCGGCGTCTCCCCGACCAGGCTGGGGATGTCTGGGGCTGTGGAGCGTCGGCGCAAACCCAGGCGGCTGGAGCCCGGACCGCACTCGGGGTGCGGGCTAAGGCCGATGGGGGCTTGCACTGCCGTCGGAGGCGCCCCTTCTAACACCTCCTGCGAACGCCATCGCCCTGTCCCTGAAGACTGCGGCGACTGCGGTCGTACCATCAGAGCCCCCGCTCGCAGGCGGGCCGCCTCCTCCTCGGTC